ATCAGTGGCACACTGAAAGCTTTACGTTTGAGTTCTTCACAGTATAAAAGTGTAATATCTCAGTTGTGCTGTTTGTTGAGCTTTCTAATGGATAACATATTTTAGTCTTTGCTTATGAACTTGTTATATTCTATGAAGAAGCAGCTGCTGCCCAGGGCGCAAAGTTCTATGATCTGTAAGAAGGAATATGGAGATGGGGCACAGCAGCTTTAATATTAAGTGTAAATGCTGTGATTCAATCCTCTTTCTCTCTCTCTCTTTTTCTTTTGGGTGTGTTTTAGTTACTTTCTACCCAATCTACTTTGATGTAGCCATGCCTGGAGAACAGCCTTTATTTAAGTCCTTTGTTGGAATGAGAAGCATGAATTACCTGAGGGAAGGTCTTGGAATCTGAGTGTTTTTCAAATGGCCTACAACAAATCCTCACCCCTTTATTTTAGCTTCATCTTTCACATTCTGTCTCAGGTGTATTGGCATTATCAGTCTGTATGCCTATTAAAGATCCTGTAGTGTGGGCCTAGCATGATAGCCTAGTAGCTAAATCGTCCCCTTGTATGCATCAGGATCCCATATGGGTGCTAATTCTTGTCCCAGTTGCTCCACTTCGCATCCAGCTCTGTGCTTATGGCCTGGGAAAGCAGTGGAGGATTGCCAAAGCCTTAGGATCCTGCACCCGTTTGGGAGACCAGAAGAAGCTCCTGGCTTTAGATATGCTCAGTCAGCTCTGGCCACTGCAGCCACTTGGAGAGTGAACCAGCTGATGGAATATCTTTCTCTCTGTTTCTCCTTCTCTCTGTAAATCTGCCTTTCCCATACAAATAAATATTTTTAAAAATCCTGTAGTGTTATTTCAATCTCAGGGTTTTTTTTTTTTCTTCCAATATTGTCTTTTCTTTTATTCAAGACTGCAAAGTCAGTCATTTGTCTGTTTCCTAAATTCGATGGGGTTGTTATTTTTAAATTATATTTTAAAATTCTGTTTCACTAATACGTCTCAGAATGGATAAAATGAAATACATGTTGTTAGACTACTCAGTTACTTCCAAAGCTGAAAAAAAACACTTTTCTGTAATATTTGTGTCTGCAAATAAGAGCAAAGCAGAGACATTGGGGGTATATTTGGATAGTCACACAATTTGAAAACTAAAAAGCCTAACTTGTTGATAACAGTGTTTTAATCCCTCTTACTCCTCTTCATCTCTCATATCTTCCTTTGTCTCCCATGGAGAAATATTATTTTTTGATGTGTCTTCTAGAGTTTGGAGGTATTGGTGTATATAAAAACTGTTGTTTTTTTTCTCCATCCTTAATTGAAATATGGTTTACTATTGTATATCTTCCTTTTTCAACTTTGTTTCTTCTATAATTCATTGAGTACTTCATTTTTAAGATTTATTAAAGATGTAAGCAGAAAGAAAATGTGTTTTAATCTAGGACCCACCCTTCCAAGTTCCCTCAAACATCCATTGCATGGAAGATCTATAGGTAGGAGTCAGGAACCTATTTACGGGCGTCACTGCTGCCGCCTCCCAAGGTCTGCATTAGCAGGAAGCTGAAGTCATGAGGCAGAGGCAGACATCTAACCAGGCACTGCGATGTGGGTTTTGTGCATCCAGATTGGCAGCTCAACCAGCTTTGTGGCTAGGCTCAAATGCCTGTTCTATTTTGTTTTTTACTTTTTTTTTTTTGTTCTCCTCCCCTCCACTCTCCCCTCCCCTCTCCTCTTCTCTCTTCTCCTCTCCTCTCCTTGCTTCTGTTCTCTTCTCTCCTTTCCACTTTCTTCTCTTCTCTTTTTCCTTCCTCTCCCATCCTCTCCCTTCCCCGCTGTTTTCCTCTTCTCTCCCTTTTCTCTCCCTTTTCTTCCATCCCTCCCTCCTTTCCTTCCATTCATCCATCCATCCATCTATTGATTTATTTGAATGCCAGAGAGAGAAATCTTCCATCTGTTGGTTCACACCGCAAATGCCAGTAACAGCTAGGGTTGCTAGAGTCTAAAGAGATTAGAATTCAATCCAGGTCACTTACATGAGTGACGAGGACCCAAGTACTTGAGCGTTCATCTACTGCCTCTCAAGGTGTATGTTAGCAGAAACAGAGAATTGGGAAGCAGTTCCATTCCTTTTTTTTTTTTAAAGATTTATTTTTATTATTTTTTTATTGGAAAGGTGGATATACAGACAGGAGAGACAGAGAGGAAAATCTTCCGTCCGATGATTCACTCCCCAAGTGAGCGCAACGGCAGATACTATGCCGATCCGAAGCCAGGGGCCTCTTCCGGGTCTCCCATGCGGGTGCAGGGTCCCAAAACTTTGGGCCGTCCTCTGCTGCTTTCCCGGGCCACAGGCAGGGAGCTGGAAGGGAAGCGGGGCTGCTGGGATAGAACTGGTGCCTCATATGGGATCCCGGGCGTGCAAGGTGAGGACCTTAACCACTTGCGCTACCGCGCCAGGCCCAGCAGTTCCATTCCTTGAACCCAGGAAGTCTGGTCCTGAATTTAGGCAACCCAAGAGGATCTTTAAAATTTGACCTGTTTTGTATTCAGTAAGAGGTAGAGACAGAGACCAGAATGTATAGAACGGGTCCAGGCCAAAGCCACAAGCCAGAACTTATCTGGATTTCTTACATGGGTGGCAAATGTTGTTGAATTTGGGCTGGGCCATTATCCTTTGGTTTCCTAGGAGCATTAACAATGAGCTGGGTGGAAATTGGGGCAGTAGGTACTTGAACTGGTAATTCCATATGGACTGTAGGCATGCAGGTAGCTGTTTAACCTCTTGCACCATCTATACCAGCCCCATGCAAATGGCATTTTAACGTTTGTGGCATCTTACTTCATTCTGTTCTGTCATTGTTGTCAGAAATATTGCATTATACACTTGAATTATTTTAGTACTTTGCAGAGAGTGCTGTAGTGAGTTATAGTAGCCTATCAGTTATTTTTTGTCATTCTTGAGTTATGTGTAGGAGAAAATGCTGGATATGAAATTTTTGGATTGAAGAATATTGGACTTTATGCTTTTAATTAATATGGTGAGAGAATTTTATCATGCATTTGAGTTGTTCAAAAAGTTGTTATGTCAGTGTATGTCAATATAGAGGAGAACTCACAATAAACTCAAAGTACTGTGAATCCTATTATGACTCCTACTTACAACTTGCTATTTGTAGTTACTGTTATTTTATTAACTACTTTCTCTTCTCCCTTCTAATTATTGTGATCTTCATCCCAGCTATCAATGTTAGTTTACTAGCTAATATTTTATTATTTCTTTCTACAAAGCAAAAATCTTAATAAATTAGAACCTTAGTACTGTAGGGGATTTTTTTCTCTTTGACCTCTCAGTGTGTTTTGACTAAACATGAACATACACTGATTTATGATAAATTGAGAGGAGAAACACATACAGATTTTTACTAGACTTTTGTATGTATGTGGAAGCCTTGCTAGAAGTGTATAACCTTAAGTAAGAGATTTAAGTGTAAGCACTTATATGCTGGGTTGAACAGTGCCATTTTGGGAAAAAATACATAGGAAGATAAATCTTATTTAACAGAGTTTTTTTTTTTTTTTAAAGATTGATTTATTTTTATTGAAAAGGTGGATATACAGAGAGGAGGAAAGACAGAGAGGAAGATCTTCCGTTCGATGGTTCCCTCCCCAAGTGGCTGCAACGGCCGGTGCTGAGCCAATCCAAAGCTAGGAGCCAGGAGCTTCTTTCCAGGTTTCCCACGTTTGTACAGGGTCCTAATACTCTGGGCTGTCCTTGACTGCTTTCCCAGACCACAAGTAGGGAGCTGGATGGGAAGTGGAGTTGCCGGGATTAGAACCAGCACCCATATGGGATCCCAGCTTGTTCAAGGCGAGAGCTTTAGCCGCTAGGCCATGCTGTTGGGCCTTTAACAATGTGTGTGTGTGTGTGTGTTTGTGTGTGTGTGTGTGTGTGCACCGAATTCTCTCTTCTACTCTATCTCTGGTAGTTAGAATGTTTCTTTTCTTATAGTGCAAAGATGGCATCTTTTACGTGGCCATTTCCTTTCTTGGTTTCTTGGAAGCAAAAGGAGGTCATTGTGCTCTTCTTAAAACTGTTGTTTTTCAAATGCCATTACCTGAAAATAGTCAGTATGCTAACGCAGCATGTTTTTGAATTGGCATCCCACAAACTCCTTTAGATCATTGCAGTTTGAAGACATGTCTCTTGTGTGTAAGATTTAGATCTTTTCATAGTCTTGTTCATATATACCAATTTCTTCTTACTGTGGGTAAATATTGATTTTATATCCAACAGTATTGTTGAATTAATTTATTATGTTGACTACAGCTTCTGGCGTTGAATAAGAGTAGGATAATTGGGTGTTGTTGTAAATGATTTTGATAGGAATACTCTGAGACATTTGATGACTTTTGCTATGGATTGTTTGTAGATAATCACAATTCAGTTAGGAAAATGATGTTTCTGTTTTATTTTGTTATGGTTTTATGAAGAATTTAATTCTATGCTTTCTCTACATATGTTGAAACATTAAGGTGGCAATTTACACTCTAAAATTTATAATGTGAAACTATTTCTATTGGTAAATCTAAGTTGGTTTTAAATTTTCTTTCTCATATATCAATGTTTACTTCACTAGTATTTTGTTTAGGATTCTTTAGTCTCTATATGTAAATGAACATGCTCTTCAATTTTGTTTTTATTTTCTGTTTTAAACTTACTTGATGGAGTACTGGTAGTAAGAACATAGTACTTTTGGTTAATTAGTTGATGGAGGGGAACATGGTTTTGTTTGAATGTGCATAGGATTGAAATGTTAAAATGCTAGTTTAATTTTTAGCGATGACAGGTTTATTTAGCCTTTCTCTCTGTCCAATCAGGTGCATAAATTGTATCATTTGTAATGACTATTTCCATATTTTCTGTTGCAAATATTTGAAAACATGAAAATAATGGAGGATATAAAAGAATCTTTCTTAGAGATTGCTTTTTTTTTATTCTCCTAAACAGGTGCTCAAAAGTGTGATAGCTTTGCTGAGAAAAGACCTCTCCTTGGTGTTTGTAAGAGCACTGGATCATCTGGGTAAGGATATTTAAAAGATTGATTTGTTTGTTGCAAATTTTCATTATTTCAGAAGGGAAAACTGTCTTAAAAATTATTGCACCTGTAAGACTAAATTCTCAGACAAAAATAAAACTTGTTACTAGGTCATAAGTCTTAATTTCTTTTCTTTCTTTTTTTTTTTTTTTTACTTTTTTTTTAAAGATTTATTTAATTTTTATTGGAAAGTCAGATAGAAAGAGAGAAAGACCTTCTGTCAGCTGGTTCATTTCCTAAGTGGCTGCAATGGCTGGAGCCGAGCCAATCTGAAGCCAGGAGCCAGGAGCTTCTTCTGGGTATCCCTCAAGAATAAATTTTAGGGCAGAAGTAAATATAATTGAGAGACTGCCACCTTTAACAATGGCTTTGTTATATGCATGTTAGTTGAGTTGTGGCTGTTCTTCCTGTCAAGCTTCCTGGGAGGGTCTGTTACAATGGCTCAATGGGTAATTCTCTACCTGCAAGTGCCAGCATCTCCTATGGGTGCCTCTTTATGTCCTGGCTACTCTACTTCCTATCCAGCTTCCTGCTTATGGCCTGGGAAAGTAATAGAGAATGGCCCAAAGCTTTGAGACCCTGCATCCATGAGGGAACCTGGAACAAGCTCCCGGCTTTGATTCTGCTCAGCTCTGGCTGTTGTGGCCATTTGGGGAGTGAACCAGCAAATGAAAGTTGTTTCTCTCTGTCTCTCCTTCTCTCTGTAAAATTGGTATTTCCAATAAAAATGAATAATTATTTAAATAAAATAAAGTGTCCAGGAAAGTAGCAGAATATGGCCAAAGTCCTTGGGCTCTTGCTGTCTATGTGGGAAACCTGGAAGAGACTTCTGACTCCTGACTTTAGCCTGGCTTGGTCCTGGCCATAGTAGCCATTGAGGAGTGAACCTGCAGATGGAAGATACCTATCTCCCTTGCTTCCTTGTGTGTGTGTTTTATACTGTGTAACTCTGTCTTGCAAATTATGAATAACTAAATAAAAAGGTTAAGTGTGATGTCACTGAGAGTTTATCATGTACTCAGCACTATGTTAGGTATTGGATAAGAATGCAAAAATGTGAAAACCAGTTTCTGTATGCCAAAGATTTAAAAACATGGTTGACATAAAAAGTATGATACACACAAAGTGATCATGAATTGGTGATGTATAATAGGAATTCAGAGAAAGTAGGATTCATTTTTTATGGATTAACAGAGGAGGCCTTATTTGGAGAAGTAGTCATGTAGTTTGTATCTTAAAGAATTAAAATTATTATAGTAGATATAGAAGAATAAGAAGGAATTCTATGGAAGGTTATGAATTTTCAACAGTGAAACAGAAACTAGAATGAATACATTTAATGTTGGGAATTTATGACTCAGAACGAACTATTTACCTTTTCAAACAAATTAAAAAACAGTACTTGCAGCTCTGTGGAATTCTACCAAAGAAATAATATTTTGATGTGAAGAGTTTAGAGTTGAGAAACTGTTAAATTTAAGTGGTGATGTATGGCATTCATGGCTGCAGCTGTGTTCATCCCACTCTCTCTTCTGTGCTCGTTTGGTATGGAAGTTGATAAAAAGTGGGAAATTTTGTGTGGGTTAGATTAACACACTGCTTTCTGTGGTTCCAAAATGTTCACTCAACTAGGAGACGCAGGTATTGCTTATTCCTGGGGGCATAGTCTGAAAATTAATGTGTTTGTCATGTGAGTTTTCAGGACCAGTGGCTTCTTCAGTTTAAGGTTGGTTACCAGATGCTTTGTGCAAGTATAAAGGAGACATGGAAAGTTACAGGGTGTAAGATAAATCTGGATAGACTTGAAAGTGCTCATATCTTTTGATCAAAGGGCAGCAACCTGAGCAACTTTGCTATTGAATCACTGACCTACCACTACAATATAAAAACATGAGGACATTTACCCCAACACCAGCCTTTAAGATAAAGAACTAAACCCAAACAAATAATACTGATCATTATTTGTATGTGGAACAAGATAGGTTTTTGAGTTGTCGTAAAATATTACATAAAATGCTTGCTTGAAATATAATATGTGTTGAGAAAAAGGAATGTCAGAGAAAAAAGGGTAGGTGATGCATATGGTATCTCAATCTTAAAAATTGCAGATAAGGGTTTTAAAGCAGATGTTATAGTTAAAATCATGTAATGAAATGGCCAGTCCCTAATGAATCAATGAAAAGTGTGACAGTAGTAATTCAATAGACATAAAGGCTAAGCTAGGGTTTAGAAAGTTTGTGAAAATGAAGTTGGAATTTTAAAATGGGAAAGATATGGAATGTTAGAACATTCATGAGAGGAATTTGTCACCTGATTAAAGCTTATATAGGAAATTTGAGCAAGGGTTGACATTATTGCATAACCATGTAAGCCATCTGCTTTTTGCAGTGCTGGCATCCCAAATAGGCACTGATTTGAGTCCTGGATGCTTTTCTTCTAGCCCAGCTCCCTGTTAATGCACCTGGGAAATCAATAAAAGATGGCTCAAGTACTTGGGCTCCTGCAAGTACATGGGAGACCTGGAAGAAGCTCCAGGCTTCTGACTGGCCTGGCCATGCCTCGGCTGTTTTGGCCATTTGAGAAGTGAACCAGTGGATGGAAGATCTCTAATTCCTTGTCCCCTTTCTGTAAAACTCTGCCTTTCAAATACATGAAATAACTTTTAAAAGATGCTTTAAAAAGACAAAGGAACTTAAGTATTCAAAAGGGAGCTGAATATGAACAGAAACTGTAGAGAAAAGGGTTATGCCGCTGTGATGAAGTATTTGTTGACTTCAGTTTTTCAGGTGCATATGTGTTGGTATATGAAAGCCCCATGGAAGGATGTATTAGATGAATTTCAACTACATGCATATAGGCTTGCTTGGCAGGTCTTAGAAGATTTTTTGTTGTTGTTGTACCTAATCAATCTTGCTAATTGTGATTAAGGAAATTGTTTTTATGGATTTTATTTATTGAGATACCACTTGTCATAAAATAAGCTCAAAAAGAGTGATAGTGTGTTTATGGTAGGTTATTAAATCTTTTATTGATTCAGGCTGGTCATGTTGGAGTTCTCTGTAGAAATATCAACTGTGTGTGAGTGAGAGAGAGAGAGAAAAAAAGAGAGAATGAGAGAGAGAGAATAAGTTGTTTAGTCCAAATATACAGAGGAGGTTGGAAGGCTGTAGGAAGAGATGTGATTTCAGGATAAAGGCAGAATTGTCTCTTCCTCTGAGTATGCCAGTTTTTTTTTTTTTTCTGTAAAAACTTTTAGCTGATTGAATGTCATGAACCCACATATTTGGGGAGAGTCTGGTTTACTCCAGCTCTACTGATCTGTTTTAATTTTATCCTAATCAAATGTCTTGGTGTATAGTGCTCTAGTTGGCACATGAAATTAATCATCATAGGGATAATGAAGATGATTATGATTAAGTGTAATGATTTGTAATGATTTCCTATGAATTTCCCTCCTCTTCCTAAGTCTGTTTTTGCTTTTTTCATAATCCATTTTGCAGTTGAGAAATGATTTTGTCACTATTTCTAATATGTCTGAATCATTTTTTAAAAGATTTATTTATTTTTATTGGAAAGTCAAATTTACAGAGACAAGGAGAGACAGAGAAAGGTCTTCTGTCTGCTGATTCACTCCCTAAGTGGCCACAATGACTGAAACTGAGCTGATCCAAAGCCAGGAGCCAGGAGCTTCTTCTGGGTCTTCCACATTAATGCAGGATTCCCAGCTGTTGGGCTATCCTTGACTGCTTTCCCAGGCCACATGCAGGGAGTTGGATAGAAAGTGGAGCAGTGCTGGGACACAAACTGGTGCTCATATGGGAACCCAGAGGACTTCAACCACTAGGCTATTGTGCTGGGCCCTGTCTGAATTGTTTGCTAGGTAGTTTTTTAATTTTTAAGATCTGTTTATTTTTTGTTGCAAAGTCAGTTATACAGAGAGAAGAGACAGAGAGGAAGATCTTCCATCTAATGATACACTCCCCATATGGCTGCAATGGCTGGGGCTGATTTGATCTGATCTGAAGTCAGGATCCTTTCTTGGGTCTCCCATACTGGTGCAGGGTTGTCCTCAACTGCTTTCCCAGGCCATAAGCAGGGAACTGATTGGGAAGTGGGCTGCCAGGAGAAGAACCAGTGCCCATAAAGGATCCCAGTGTGTGCAAGGTGAGGATTTTAGCTGCTACGCTACTGCTGGGCCTGCTACATAGTTTTGAGAGTAATTATTGATAAGTAATAGAAAGCAACATTTGAATAAGTTCATAGGTCATTTTATGGGATACAGAGCTGGGGTGAATGTTTCTTGTTATTATAGTCCACGGTTCTCTCCTGCCTGTGTGCTCTCCTTTTGTCTTGTTTTCTATTTTCTGATGCAAGAAGTTTGCTCAAAATATGCATGTTGTTTTCACCTATTTGATGATCCAGTTAGAACAAATTAAACTTTTATGTGTTTTCTGTTTGCCAGAATGGTTATCATTTTAACAAGGAAATTTCTGTGTAGGATTGTTTCATAAGAGTAACATCGCATAGTGGATGAATAGTTTATTCTCAAGGAGTATGTGTATGTTAACTTTTTGTGTAAAAGTTGGTGATGTAAATTCTAGGATCTATTTTACATTGTGATGCACATTCTAGGAACTATTATTTTGAGACAAAATCATTTTCTGTAATTTTTTGTTTAGAGGAAATGTTTTTAAAATTTTTTACTGATTTATATTTGTTGTATTTCAGTTTGAATTCATTACAGATAAAGTTGTATCTGTTGGTTCATTCCCAAGTGCCTATGACAGAATAGGTTGGGAAAGGGTCATGTCATGAGCCAGGAACTTCATCTGAGTCTCCTACATGAGTGGCATGTTGAACCAGTACTTGCTGCATCCTAGGCGTAAAAGGAGGAAGCTGGATTGGAAGCGGAGGCAAGGACTCTGATCTGTGATTCAGGCATCCCAAGTGGTGGCCAACCATCTGTGCCTGACTGCCTGTCCCAA